TCTCTGTCTCGCTCCCTTTCTCTCTCTCTCTCTCTCTCTCTCTCTCTCTCTCTCTCTCTCTCTCTCTCTCTCTCTCTCTCTCTTTCTCTCTCTCCCATCTCCATCTACTATATACACCGCGCGTACTGGTTTGGTGCCCGCTACTAAGGTACAAGTGACGATACGAGATAATGTGATAGTGCGCGCGCGCTATCTCTGCCGCCGTACAGTGAAAACACCTGGCGTCGCATTTCGCGACCGTCGATCCCAGTGATGTGTTCTCGCGACGTGTTTGACTGCGAGCGCGCAGCTTCTCGGCCGACAGACGTGCCGACGTTACAGCGAGTTTCGTACGCGCGAGGTTACGCAGGCAGCGAGCATGCAATATCGCGTGTAGCACGGCAGTCGTGCGTAGACGTGCAGCGCAACCGGTCATTCGATTGCCGTTTTTTCGGAGAAGATCGTGCACAGATTGCAGCTCTATACTAGCTAGCTAATCGTCAAGTTCTCGCGCACAGTATAACGTTGCCCGAGCCCGAGAGCACAGGCGCGAACGTCTCATCATACCGTATAAATAGAGAGAGAGAGAGAGAGAGAGAGAGAGAGAGAGAGAGAGAGAGAGAGATGAGAAAGAGACGTAGAGAGAGAGAGCAAAATAGCGAGAGAGCGAACAAGAAAGGAATAGCGAACGAGAGTAAGCGAGTAAGAAAGAGAGAAAGAATGCAAAAGAGAGATAGGGAGAAAGTACGAAAAAGCGAGGGGAAAAAGGGAAGAGAGAGAGAGAGAGAGAGAGAGAGAGAGAAAGAAAGAAAGGGAGGGACAGAGATAGAGAACTGGGAGAGCATTATTTTAAGTTAGTAGTTGGCAATGCATTGGTCATCCCGTTCCGACCACTGTTCATCACTTTTTTTACAGTAAGATGAAGGTAGTTCCTATACGGTGTACATGCGAATGCTTTACGTGCGTGCGTGCGTGCATGCAAACGTGCGTTCGTGCGTACGAGCGTGCGTGCGTGCACCAGAACGTGCGCGTGTGCATACGTGTGTGCAGTCGTGACTTATCAACGACCCTTTTTATAGCCTCTGAGCTCAAACGTTCGCCGTTTACGGTAAGGAAATTGGCGGCCATCAAAAGATGATTATTACATTACGGACGCCAAGAGCGAAATGCATCCGCGAATAATAAATTAATGAATAGGTCAAAGGAAGGGAATTAACATCAATTTATTGCTACACTGCGCTTTTCTGAAACAACGTCACGATATATCGATTTCTTTGCGAACTATTTCTTCTCTGGTCGGTCAGTCAGTCGATAGGTCGTTCGTCGGTCGCTCGTCGGTCAGTCGATCGTTTGGTCGATCGGTCGGTCGTTTGGTCGGTCGGTCGGTCGGCCGGTCGGTCTGTCGGCCGGTGGGCCAGTTATTGGTTTATTCGGTTAGATCACTCGGTTCGTCGATTCTATCGAAAGAATAATACTAACTCTATTACAACGAATCGTTTATGATCCAGAAACTATATATTACAGTTGAAAGCGGTTAAAATTCATCACAACCATGAGCTATCACGTACGACCAATAGCGATTAGAAATCTATCTTCTGCTGTCGCCAAAAATTATTCGTTCATGATAATATACGAATAACGATTCGATGACGGTATGTTGACAACACACACACACACACACACACACACACACACACACACACACACACACACACACACACACACACACACACACACACACACACACACAATTTGTAAATTTGTACACGTGCAGCAATTGGGGGTATTTACTTGAAATCATTCGGCTATAACTCATCCGGTAAAGCGTTTTAGTTAGAAAGAAGGCAATAGAAGCTTAGCACATGCTTCGATTTAATTTGTGCGATGTCCTTGAAGGCGGAGTAACGGCGCGGGCTAAGAACGCATGCGATGCAAAATATCGATAAAGAATACATTATGAAAGTCGAGAAGGTTATCATTATGAATGTGAGACAGGTTTTGGAAGTACGTAACGTTAATAATAAAAAAATCGACATCAGGGTATATCAGGAGTAGATAATAGGGATTATTATCCCTATTATCTACTCCTGGGTATATCTAAGTAAATGCTCCGTGCGTAGAAAAACTCGGGGTGCACGAGTATTGCGCCGCAGTCTGCGATGGCCAACCCCGCCTTGTAACCACAATAAATCAAGTACAGAGAGAACGACCGGCTTAAGCATTACAAAAAAGCGCATAAACACTCTGGTACGCGCTATAGTCGCTGAACTGACTATAGCTACCAAATTTATCTGTTTAGGCTAATCATAATATTATATGGAATGTACATCTAGAATTACTACATACATTACCACCATTATTAAAAAAATCACATAGGTTAAGCGCATCGCTATCATTAGATAACTCAGCAGATTCTAGGTGCACATGCGTTGACTATGCGATTAGTATTGAAAACCGAACGATTGATTTATTCAGTCCTGATTAGATACACGGGATCTACATAACTTGAATACCTTTAATTATATTTATTTGTATAGCTCCACGTTACCTGAATCCAATTGCTGCGTGATAACACCGCAGTTGAAGCACGAGCGACGGCAACTCCGATTTATTTCCGTTAGTCGATATGATTTAATGCATGTCACTGAGTAAGAGTAATGCGTACGGATACCTTTCAAACCAACATACGGTAACAAAACTGTATGGATAAACTGTATTAACACAAATATAAAACAATACTATAGAACATTCGAAGTATGAATGTATTATGTTGATACGACGTAGTTTGTGACTGGTTGGCATTCGATGAAGTCATGTGTGTCGAACAATGATACATCCGAACTGAAAGGTCGTAGATTGTTTAGCGACTTTTTCACGAAACATGCTGTGTATTTTAATAGAAATATGACATGAATGTTTAACAACCGTTGCGAACTAAAATGCGCTTCTTTTGCATTCTGTTGCAAAACAATGATTACCGTTGCGCCTCGTGAACGTGTGGGTGGTTAAAAAAATCTGAATCGTACATTGAAGTACAGGCAATATACCTAAAAACGAATAATGTCACAGCATTTTATGGTCGATCAATTTTAATCTAGTCTAATCACATTTAGCCGTACATTTCCTACATACAGCTATGCTTTCACACGCGTGGATAGTTTTACGTACTCGCGGTTCTTAATACTAGGTAGCTATTTCGACATTTAACGATCAAAGCAAGTATTATTACATTAATATTATTAAAGAAATTATGATTTACAGTTGACTAGAATTCGACGAAAACTGGACGTTCAATATTTACTTGTTCGCATTTACAATTGTATGATCAATGCTAACTCAATAAATCGCATTTTGATCGCTGCATTGTGCCTTTATACACAAATTCATCTCATATTTATAACTAATCCTGTATGTTTAGCAGTTTATAATAGCCTAACACTAGCGTAAAACACAATTTCGCCGACCTAGGAACACCAACATCCCGATGTTGATATTCTTGTTGTATGCGCTTTTGTTTGCACGGTTCTATGATCTAATTGACTAGGGCTGAAGTGCAGAAAGATCGCAGATATATATTATTAAATGCGCGAAGGAGCTAATGAGAAAAACGGTGTGAAACTGTAACCTTTTCAATCATAATATATAAACTTAGTACCGTAGGTATATTATCGTTAAGTTTTCATAGTTTTATTGAGTCCATTCACTCGCTGTAAATAATTTATCTATTGGTAATCGTCGATGATTAGCTACGTGTGCAGATCGGTAATAATATATTTTCCGCATTAACTAACAATATAGCTATAATCTCTCGTATTTGGTTGGTTCCATAAGAGTCTTTAGGTTACGTGACACAAGGTACTTTCTGAGTTTTAAGATTCTGCTAAGCCGGCCTAGAATTGTTTCAAATTCCGGCAGAAATGTTTAGAAAATGTTAAACTGAGCACGCACTAGAGTCGTCTGTAGAAGGAGTATCAGAGATTCACACATGCAAGGTATATAAAAGGAAGTTCAGGGATTTAAACAGGGTCTGGGGGCGTTTCGGGGCCTGGGAAACGACGGTTTCCTCGTTCAAGCCGTTGAGGTGTATACTACTTTATACGCATTTGGGTGTCGTATATGTTTGATATGTTTCTTTATATCGTTATCGTATGTATCAAAATGTTGAATATTACCCTATTTAGAACTTAACTGTAAAAAGATTCCCGGGGACCCCCCCCCCCCTTCTCACCGGATCCGGATAAGTACGTTGCAGCCGTAGCAGGAAGAATCAATAAATAAATATATATATATATATATATATATATATGTGCGTCTGTTGTTGGCGTGCGTGCGTATTGCAGGTAGGTGTACACCATCGGCACAGGGCCAACGATGGCTTGTTTTTTGGGAAGTTGCATGAACACGGCTATATAATTATTAGAGATGCGTTGATTATGTCAGCAGGCCAGTTACTTTAGCTCCATTACTCATTCCATATTCAGATGTGTTGTGAGATTGACTGGCCCACCGGATTTGTTGACAACAATCTCTAGCAAATGATAGCAAACTTGCCACATTTGCACTGTGGTTTCAACATATATGTTGCTAATTACTATTAATAATGTAAGCGGCCCATGTTACAATCGCACGTCGCCTTTTTCTGTACATGTTCAAGTTAAATTCGATAGTTAGCACTCTCTTGTTCATATACATCGATTCGCGGCTTCGGTGTTGCAGAGGGAAAATGTTTTATCGATTATACTCTCTAAACTCTTCAAACCATGTCCACTAATAGAAACCCGTTTGTTTGATCTGCGCTAAGATATCATACAGCGTTATGCGTGAATGAAGTTTGAAAAGTGCA